AGAGAAACCCTGTCTCGAAAAACCAAAAAAAAAAAAAAAAAAGTAAAAGGATTTTTTGTAAAAAAAAAGGCTGTCAAAGGGCGTTTAGAATCAGCTTGAAATTGCAAGAAACCCTTTGAAGTACATGCCTGAGTGACTCAAGTGTGTCACAGCATGTCCACCAAAACAATTCTTGAGCCAAAGATGAGGCTGTTAAAATTGAATGGCTGGTGTCCTGGATCAATCATAATTCACCTCAGCGAAAGTGTCTGACTTTTGCCACATGGTAAGGTTTCTGGCGCGGGGCTGCGACTTCCTCAGAGAACCCGAAAAATGAATGGGCCACCCCAAACCCTAAGGGGCATGCACTTTAACAGAGGAACTTACCTGGAGTTATCCTGCAATCTTGCCTGGTGGTATCCTGGCCAGTGGGATACGAACAGGGGTCCCCGATAAACCTAGGGAAGAGGAATGGAAGAGCAAGAGACATGAGAAACTACAGCAAGACAGTATTTCTGATCAAACCGCCGTTTATTATTTTCTCTGAAGCTGTTATGTAGCAAAGGGGCAAGTGGGGTGGGGGGACGTGTCAGGTCTGCTGGAATTCAGGCCTGGAGTCGTCCCTAGCTGATAAATACTGAGGGTCTGTGATTGTTGACTAACAAAGGAAATGCTAATTGTTTCTAAAAGCCTGTTGCCTCTGGTCTCACTAGGTTAATGTCCTATGTAGGTCAGGAACTTGCCCTGCAAACTTGTGAACTTCAGATGGCTGTAAATAAAATACAGATCTCAAAATACAGGTCTTTGCTTCCTGGATGGAAGATGGCTTGTGCTGAAAGGGCGTTTTTTCAGCAGGTCTGGGCCCTGGGCTTTTGGGGATGGGGTGGGGAGACGGACCCTTTTGGTGGAAAACATCCATCTGTTAAGGAAAAACCCTCTCCACTGGCACACAGAAATTCAATCAAGCCAAATTAAACTGAATTAAAATGCCCATGTTTTAATAAATGCAGCACTCTGGGGTGGTTGAGAGCATGGCAGGGGAGACAGAATACCTAGGAGCACATGCAAAACCCGGGACCATGTGTTCATCCTCTGGGTGCCTACTTAAATACCCCATGGGAGGGGTCCTGTCCCCTGACATGCTGGGATTTGGAGTCCAGACCAATGCAACTCCCAGGCCAGGGTGCTTGGATGAATGCCAGGGGCTGGGGTAAGGCCCCCAACTTAAACATTGGGTATATACACAAGGAATGCCAATCATACCACAAGGACATGTGCTCAGTTATGTTCATGGCAGAATTATTTTTCATAACCAGAATCTGGAAACAACCTAAATGCTCCTCTTTTACACGGATGATAAATGGGCTGAGAAAGAAATCAGAGAAACATCACCCTTCACAGTAGCCACAAATAACATAAAATATCTTGGAGTAACTCTAACCAAACAAGTGGAAGACCTGTATGACAAGAACTTTAAATCTTTGAAGAAAGAAATTGAAGAAGACACCAGAAAATGGAAAGATCTCCCTTGCTCTTGGGTAGGTGGAATTAGCATAGTAAAAATGACAATCTCACCAAAGCAATCTACAGATTCAATGCAATACCCATCAGAATCCCAGCAAAGTTGTTCACAGACCTCGGAAGAACAACACTTAACTTTTTATGGAAAAACAAAAAATTTAGGATAGCCAAAATAATCCTGTACAATAAAGGAACTTCTGGAGGCATCATAATCCCTGACTTCAAACTCTACTACAGAGCTACAGTACTGAAAACAGCCTGGTATTGGCATAAGAACAGACAGGAGGACCAATGGAACTGATATCAATCCATACATTTATGAACACCAGATTTTTTACAAACAAGCAAAAAATGTACAACAGAAAAAAGAAAGCATATTTAACCTGCTTATTTATATTTTCACAACTACTTGACTGGCCTGAAGTTGCAGTTCCCTGAGGCTACTTTTTTTGCAACTTGATTGTAAGGTCAGGCTAGGCTTCCGAGTTGATGCTGGGCCTCAAGCTGCAGGTGTGTGTGGGGGAAGCCATGCTCCCTCTGCTGCTTGGCTGTCCCGCCTGGGTACTTGGATCAGGAAGTTGTTCCCTCATTGCCTGCTCTGCCTGGGCAGGACCCATTTAAAAGTGCCAACAGAGGCCATTGTTATAGGCAGCTAATAAATTTACAGGCGCTCAGGTGTCCCCATTGCAGCAGCTCTGAGACTGCAGTGTGAGATCACAAGCTCAGGTGGGTATAGCAGTGCCGATTCTTACTATCCTTGCTTTTTTATTTTAAATCTTGTAATCATGAAATTAGGAGAATTCCTGAATCCTTTCCTCTGTTTAAAGCCATAGATTTATCCGTAAAGGTTCCTTGGCTCATGGTTCATATAGCTTCTGAGCATTTCTATTGACTGACCCTGGGTGCTGGAGGTAAAGGTAGCCTTTAAACTTTTCTGTCTGTCTTTCCTGGCCCCACTGCACAGCGCAGGCCAGACTTGGCTGGCTACAGTGCGCTTGTGTGGACTATCTCAGTCTCAGCGGTAACCCAGGCCATTTTTTTGTCCCACATTCCCTTTGCTCTTCTACTTGTTTAGCAGCTACAGAGGCTGTTGCTCAGTGAACAAATCTTGCAGGGGAAGGTGGGACTTCACTTCGGCCTCCCTGACACCCGGAGCCACCCGAAGGCTGCAGCGGATACGCTGCCAGCACAGACCAACTCTCAATATCTCTGCCTTTGTTTCTGCTCCACTTCAGCTCCTCTAGCTATCAAAATACATCCAAGCAACTGTATAGATAGTTGAATACTATTTCCTTGTCCCATATTTACAACTATTTACAGTTTTACTCCCGATTTCCCCCCTGCCTTTCTCATTCCTTTTTTAATTACCTTCTATTTATTTCTGAGTGCTCATTACTCACCTTGCCACCTGTGGTCAATTTTTTCACAGCATTCCTCACCACCTCCCTTGTACGCCTGGCCACACTTCTGTGCATTTGGGGGTTTGCCAGTCAGCGGCGCCATATGTAGAGGACTGGCCTTGACAAAAATCACCTCTTGAGTAGGGGTGTGGGAATAGAAAAATTATATGAAGACACATAAAAATAATAAGACCGAAAACATGAGACAGTATTGGGAGGGTATTTCAGGAATCAGTCAGACCCAGGATTCACCCGGGTTTATTTTTCCACAGCTTTTATATGTTGAAATAAGAGCGGCGGGGCTGCGTCCCCAACACCCTGGCCGCTTGGCTAGCTTATGCCCGAAATAATAACACACAAACTGTATTCATTTAAAGAACTGCTTGGCCCATGAACTCTAGCCCTTACAGGCTAATTCTCGCACCTGGACTAGCCCATTTCTAATAATGCGTGTAAGCACCCCAAGGTGCGCTTACCGGGAAGATTCTAGCCTCTGTCCATCCTGGGAGAGTGTAGCATGGCGTCTCTGCTCCCGAGCTGTCGGCTCTCTCTCTGGGATCCGAGCAGAGTCTGACCTCACTTCCTCTTCCGCCCAGAATTCTATTCTGTTTTCTCCTCCCATCTATGTTCTAACCTCAGGGCCAGCCAAGCAGTTTCTTTTATTGCTCAGCCAATGAAATCAACAGATTGATATGACACTCCCACATCATTTATACCCAATGTAAACTGTGGGAGAAGGTAACAAAAGACTTTATTACTATGACACAAAAGATTTAACTCACACAGTCAACTCTGAGAGAGCCAATCAACAGCATTCTGTTGACTAGGTTATACAAGGTGCCCCAAGTCATGCTTACTGAGTCAAGTACACTAAAGACAGCTCTTCCCCAGGTGACCTCACAGTTACAAAGGAAAGAGCTGAAGTACCTTTGCATATCCTGAACACCCACCATCAGGATGGCACAGAGCTATCTTAACTTTAAAAGGGCTAGGCAGTCACCTCCTGAGTTGTAAGGTGCCATTAAGCCTGTTAGTCCCCAGACTCTCTGGCAGTCAGTCAAGGTAAAAATGGGCCTGCATTTTTCGGCCTCCATACAGCTCCCAGTTCTCTTTTTTTTCTTTTCTTTTCTTTTTCTTTTTTTTTTCAAGACAGGGTTTCTCTGTGTTACAGCCCTGACTGTCCTGGAAATTGTTCTATAGACCAGACTGGCCTCGACCTCACAGAGATCCACCTGCCTCTGCCTCCTGAGTGCTGGAATTACAGGCTCTTGCCACCATTGCCCAGCCCAGCTATTTTTCTAAACTAACTGTGAAGGTGAATACTTTCGGGACTCTTAAAAATGTGTATTATTTATGTGTAAATGTGTGTGCCTGAATGTATGTGAACCATGTGCATGCAGTTCCTCTAGAAGCAAGAAGAGGGTATTGAATCTCAGAACTGGCGTTATGAACAACTGTGGGGCACTTCCTATGGGTGCTAGGTACTGAAACTGAGTCCTTTGGAAGACCAACAAGTGCTTTTAACACTGAGCTATCTCTCCAGCCCTGGACTCTTAATATTTATTTTCCTTATAATCATTGAATTTATGGTAATATAGCCCAGTTAGACCTTGTCCTATAATCTCAATTGATAAATAAGCTCCTTGAACATGTACATTATTTTAAATTCCCCCCCCCATGAGGAAATCAGAGTGACAGCTGTAGAAATTGTCCTCTTCATCGGAGTAGGTGGAAAGTCCAAGAGTTGCTGGGGGTGGGATGCTGAGAGCAAGGAAGAGATTCTGCTACTGTCCAAGAAAAAGGTGGGTGTGAGAGGGAGGAAGAGAAAAAGCTGATGCTTTAGCCTCCAAATGAGGCTGGCACCTTTCAGGGCAGACTTCTATAGTAATGTTCTTTCAAGGTGTTCTTTCATTTATTTTCAGCTAGAATGTTATGATATAAGCTGAGCCTGCCCAGAGAGAAGCATTCCTGCTCATTTCTTTAATCTCTTTTAGATATGTGCTCTATGACTTTAAGCTGAACATTCTTAGGAATGGGTCCAGCCCTATAGGAACATGTATAGGATCCCTGAATAAAGTCACCATGCTTCTTTGTTTCCAGGAGAGCAATGCTCTGAAAATAGCCCTTGTGCTCCCACTGCATGTTGCAGGTAAGAAGTCTTTCTTCACTCTTACGTTTTGGTTTTGCTTATTTTAACCATTGGGAATCTTTTTGTATTCGTTAGCAATGGAATTCTTGGCTCCATTCACCACAGTTGTCCTATCATTTCCACATTAAAGGGGTTATCAGTTTTGCAGAGACCAGCATAAATTCTCCCTCTTTTTCATGTCCATTGACTTCATTGTTATCATGAAGAGGCCTAACTGCCCCCTTGAGTCTGTAGGAGTTTACAAAGCCTGCTGAAACCATTTTCTTATACCTTTACTCCATCATTAATCTCTTGCTCTAAAATGGCATTTTATCTCTTTTGGTATATTATTTTGAAAGGTCTGACTATGCAGGCAAATTGGACTGGAAGTCTGATTACCCTGATAGTTTCTCTAAAGCTTTAATTTTGAGCTTTTGCCATCGAGTCCAGTCCAATAGTTAATTTCTTTTGTAGTCATTTTGGAATACATAGACAAGATAGAAAGGAAAAACTAACTGTGGCTCAGCTACTCACACATCTCATTTAAGAGGTCCCCACTATCACATGAATTTTTCTGTATTTGAGATAATATATTGCCCCATGCTGAATTCTGAAGTTGTTTAGTTTATTATTAAGTAATTAGTATATTTTGTTTAAACCCAGAATCCCAATAGTTCAACATATCTGTATCTACCGTAAAATGTTTAAAATTTCCTCCATTGTTTCTAAAATAGAAAAAAATATGCTACTGGTGTAGCAGAAACTTGAAGTAGTAAAATTGATGCTATATAATTTATTTATTTTATATCCCTCCCTTCTTTATTCCCATTCCCTCCCACCACCTCCCTTCTACCCACTCCATCCACTCCTCCATTTCTGTTCAGAAAAGGGCAGGCCTCCCGTGAGTATCAATAAAGCATGACATATCAAGTTGCAGTAAGACTAAATACCTCCCCATGTATTAAGTCCAGGCAAGGTGACCCAATGTGAGGAGTAGGGTCCTAAGAGCCAGCAAAAGAGTTAGAGACAGCCCCTGCTCTCACTGTTAGGAATCCCACAAGTAGATGAATCTACATAGCTGTCACATATATGTAGAGAGTTTAGATTGGTCCCATGTAGCCTCACTGGTTTTTGGTTCAGACTTCTGTTAGCTTCTATGAACCCAAGTTAGTTGTTTCTGTGGGTTTCTTGTGGTATCCTTGACCCCTCTGGCTCATACAATCCTTCCTCTCCCTCTTCCGCAGGATTCTTTGAGTTCAGCCTAATGTTTGACTGTGGGTCTCTGCATCTGTTTCTATCAGTTGCTGTGTGAAGCCTCTCTGAAGACAATAGGGCTACGCACCAATCTATGAGTATAGCAGAATATTGTTAGGTATCACTGTGTTGATTTTTTTCCCCAATTGTGTTTAGTTTTATCGTAGGTCTCTGGGACATTCAGTCTCTGGGTCCTGGCACTCCAGGCAGTGTCAGGGGTGGGCTGACTCTTGTGGCATGGGTCTGAGACTGGACCAGTCATTGGTTGGGCACTCCCACAATCTCTGTGTCACCCTTACCCCAGTATATCCTGTAGGCAGGACAAACTATAGGTTGAAGGTTGTGTGTCTGGCTTGGTGTCCCAGTCCCTCCACTGGAAGTCTTGCCTGGTCACAGGAGATGGCCAGTTCAGGCTGTCTGTCCACTATTTCTAGGAGTCTTAGCTGGGGTCAACTTTGTAGATTCCTGGGTGTTTCCCTTGCATCAGGTTTCTGTCTGACCCTGAAATACACCTCCTTTGCAGTCATTTCTTTCAATACTTTCCTCTCCATCCAGGCCCCCAATCTGATTCCCTGTGTTCCCACCCCACCCACCCCAAGTCTACCCATGAGATCTCTTCTATTTCCTTTTCTGAGGGATTTCCTGAGTTCCCCTTTGAGCCCTCCTTGTTCCCTAGCCTCTCTGGGTCTGTGAATTGTAGCATGGTTATCCTCTATTTTATAGCTAATAGCCATTTTATAAGTGAGTACATACCATGTTTAGCTTTCCTGGTCTGAGTTACCTCACTTAGGATATTTTTTTCCTAGTTCCATCTCTTTGCCTACAAATTTCATGATGTTGTTGTTTTTAACAGCTGAGTAACACTCAATTGTGTAAATGTACTGCATTTTCTTTATCCATTCTTTGGTTGAAGTACATCTAGGTTGTTTCCAGGTTCTGGCTATTTCAAATAAAACTGCTGTGAACATAATTGAGTAAGTGTCTTTGTGGTATGACTGAGCATCCTTTGGGTATATGCTCAAGAGAGGCATAGCTGGGTCTTGAGGTAGATAGATTCCCAATTTTTTAAGAAACTGCCATACTGATTTCCACAGTGGTTGTACAAGTTTGCACTCCTACCATGGAATGCAATGGAAGAGTGTTCCCCATACTACACATCCTTTCTAGCATAAGCTATCATTAGTGTTTTTGATCGTAGTCATTCTGACAGGTGCAAGATGGAATCTCAGAGTCATTTTGGATTGCATTTGCTCACCAAGATTGACCTTCAATTAGGCTTCATTTCTGTAACAAAATGAAACAACCTTGACTTAAAACCAGCTATTTATCAAAGAATATGCCTCTAAGGGACATCTCTAGGTGGCAGTGCAGGATCACAAACACCACTAAGTCCTCTGTGCACTTTTCAGGAAAAGCATATTCTACCAGGTGGGCAAGATGAACCCAGTAACAACTAAGCGAAAAGAACAACACAGGTGTACTTAAGAAAGAATTCTGGCAACATACCTGATAGGTAACACTCCCAACTGCCCAAGTGGTCAGGCTTGGTCAGTCTCTTGTCTCTATTTAAATATCTGGGCTGGGATCTAAAAGTGACTTAAGGATGACAGCATGTGTGTGTACATGTAACAGCATGTGAAGTATACATAAGCTAGTGAAATTTTCTGTTTTTGGCTGTGTCCTCTTTGAACATTACCTAGAGCTGGATAAGTACTAGAAAGAACATTCTTCTTCATTAATCTTTTAATTATGCACTTTGCATAATTAAAATGTTCAGTGTGCAGAGTGATTTCTCACTCAGAAGACATATTATTTCTAGTACAACAAATATTGTTAATAAATCCTTGTTGACATTTGATATGATAATTCTCATGTTGATTTCTACAAATTGACATGTTTCTTGAGTTGCTGGGTTTCAGCAGCCTGGTCCCAGCAGCCCTGAAAAGATAGGCTCTGCCATCCAGTCATCATCAATAGCCAGTTAGAGAGATGGGTAATAGCTAAGAGCAAAAAAGGAGATTTCAGTGTGGCCCCACTGGGAAGAAGAACAAATAAGGAGGTCGGGCTACTCCTATTTTAGGGGTCCTAATATCCGGTTTAGGGTTCAGTAGAGGGTGAGACTTAGCTATGCCTAAGCAGTGCTGGTCAGGCTGTGATCCTGCCTATCAACTGACACATTGCAGTCAGCCCTGCAAAATCAGCCATGTAGTTGTCAGCAGTGTGTGAAATCTTTTCCCAGGAGACAAGCTCCCCTCGGGCTGGCACCTGAGTCCAGCCTTTTCCTTCCCAGAATGGGACTCTTAGGGTAAATTTTTATTTCTTTGGGTCCATTGTGTCGGTAGTTTGATAGCCCAAGGCAGGGGCATGGATGTCTCTCTTTAGAATATCTTGGTTCCTACTGCGACTGCTAGAGATACATTTTGCAAAACTCATATGAGAACATTTATCAGGTGTCTGCATTACTGTACCTTGAGATTATTTCTGACCTTTTTGTTATTAAATTCAGATTCTGTTATATTATTTTTGCTTTAAAATAAATTCTCTTAAATTACATCAAAGGTCTATATTTTCATTTAAGACCCATGCATTTATTTTTCATACTTTTCATATAAAATTGAGCTTATGAGATTTCATATAAGATACTTATACTTATAAGATAAGTTAAAATGAGTACTTTGGAGCTGAAGAAATGATTCAGGGGCTGAGAGCACTGACTGTTCTTTCAGAGGTCCTGAGTTCAATTTCCAGTACCCACATGGTGGCTCATAACCATCTATAATAGGACCTGATGCCCTCTTCTGGTGGCATGTAGGTGTACATGCAGATCACCCCGACATAAAATATAAGTAAATAAAAATTAAAAAATTAAAAGTAAAATGAGTACTTTGTGGTGAGAACTATATATTCAGTATTGGAGCATATACTTATCACTTGCAAGGCTCTGAGTTCAATCCTCAGTTCAGCAAAAAGTAAAAACAAAAAAGAAAAATAACCCCATAAGTAAATATTTAAAAGTTGGTGGAAAACAGTTCACAGAAACCAGGAGTTTTGGAACCTGGGGTGGAATACAGTCACAAACTCTATTCTTGGTCCTAGATACACTACCATCTTGCCTCAGCTTTGAAGTTGTCTAACTGTCTTGTTGTCTTTGTGTATATCAGTTGAATAGGCAATTTACATTTGAGTCAGAGCTGAGCATGGGGGTATATATCTGTAATCCTAGCATTTAGGAGGTAGAGGCAGGAGGATCAGGGGTTCAAGGTAGTCTTATTTATGTAGCTAGTTGGAGGTCAGCATGATCTACTTGAGACCCTGGTTCACAAAAATTGTCCGATTTGATTCACTTGTTTGTTATTTACCTTGTGATGCCTTGCTTAGGATACATGTGAACAATCCCTCTACACTAAGATTACAGGCAAGGATAGAGTACATATGCTTTCTTTCTTGGAAATAGCAAGTCCTGTTCTTGACCATACAATCTGGTATTTCCTTGTGTCCAGGCAGGAGTGAAGATATGCTAAAGAGATACTTAAATTTCCTCTGTTGGCTATCTGTTTAACAATGGACTTCAAAGAACTGGAAGTTTCCCCAGGAATTTCATCTTGGGGGAAGTACTGAAACCTTTTACCAGCCAGAGGGAGATGCTTTCTCTTGAAGAGATTGCACACAGTTCTAATACCTTGTCAAACTACCTTGTAAGATACTGGAGTCTAAAATACAATGATGGCTGGGACCACACCTTGACCAGAAACAGCTTAGTTCTGCATACTTTTGGCCCTTTGTTTAAACCCAATTGTCACTTCTGTATACTAGAAAATGGACTTGGGGACAGATCACTGGAGTTCTGTGCTCCTCTGCCCACTATGGCTATATGCAGTAAACAAATCTGTAGGCAGAGGCTGCTTGTTCGTTCCTGGCTGCCCTGACCTGAAATAATTACACAGAAACTGTATTAATTAAAACACTGTTCAACCTATTAGCTCAGGCTCCTTATTAACTAACTCTTTATATCTTACATTAACCCATTCCTATTATTTTGTATTTTACCATGAGGCTTGTGATTTACCTGTAAGGTTCTAGGGTGTCTGTCTCCTTTGGCAGCTATATGGCATCTCCCTGATTCCACCATCTTTTCTCCTCTGTCTCTGCTTGGGATTTCTGCCTTGCTCTATTCTGTGCTGCCATAGGCCCAAAGCAGCTTCTTTATCAACCAATGCTAATAAAACATACTCACCAGCACACAGAGAGGAATTCCACATCACAAATCTTTCCACTTTGTACTGTTACTTTGTTTGTTTAATTGAGGGTAGGTGGTCTGCTGTGGCCTAGGTTCTAACTAACACTTGCAACTGGAACTTTTTAGACTTTGATTCTTAGAAGTGTATACTCAAATCTTACATGATTAGCTCTAACAGACCACAAGTTTTGGGGTCATGGTTTTAGAAGTAAAGTGTTTCTCATGCACCTTGAAATCAGAAAGGGTGATATAACAAAATAACAACCTATATTGCCATTGGGAACTACATCCTGGGGAAAATATGATGAGCTTACTATTTGAAAAAGTTAGCTTGTAAAAAAAATAAACCAACCTCACTTGAACTAGGACTCAAATGTCTATGGGATAGTAGTTTTCCGTGCTGTTGTCCATGCAACGCCATACTGTTTAGGTAGGACACAGTAGGGCACTAAAAACATCTTCAAAGTGAAAATTTCTCTTAATTCAAAAGCTTGTCATTGATGTAGCCCTAAACTTGGAGGTTATTTTTGGGTGTCTGGTACTTGTCAGGATGACAAGGTTTACTCATTTTTGTAATTTCCTATTTCTCATCTTATTTTTCTGTCTGTCTGGGATACTAAGTAGAAAGCAAAACTCAGAGATCATGTAGACCAATGGATTTTAAATTCTAAGAGTTAGAAACTCCCAGGAGAGGGGCAAGTGCTGTGCTTGGCAGAACTATAGCAGAAACAGGGCCTTTCTTATCACCTCTTTGCCTGAATGCTGGCTTCCCTGGCTTCTCATTCTTACACTTGAGGAAACAGCATGCCCAGAAAATAAAGGGACAGTACTTTAAGGAAATGGTAAAACTCAGGTGGAAGCAAAATTCTTTTAGGTCCTGGCTCATCAGGAGACCCTATGAAAAATAAAGAACTGCCAATCTGTCTTTATGGCAAACCTACTGTCATTAAAAGATGGGGTACAGCCTACAGTTCACATCCCCTGATAAGCTAGGTAGCAAGGAGGACCAAAGAGAGACATGCATGGATTCCCCCTAGAAAGGGGAAATAGATAAAATCTGAGTAAATTTGGAGCATGGCGGGTGGGGGGGGGGAGAAAGAGAAGGGGAGGTCCCATGGAGGACCAGGATGGGATTGTCCAGTTGCAAGAGGGACAGAGAGGGAGAGCAAGGAAAGAGCTATCTTGATAGAGGGATTCAGTATGGGGTTAGGGAGAAACCTGGCACTAGAGAAATTCCCAGGAATCCACAAGGATGACCCCAGCGAAGACACCAACCAATAGTGGAGAGGGTGTCTGAGCTGGCCTTCCCCTGTAATCAGATCGATGACTACCTTAATTGTCACCATAGAACCTTCATCCATTAACTGATGGAAGCAGATGCAGATCCACAGCTAAGCACTGGGCCAAACTCCCAGGGTTCAGTCAAAGAGAGGGAGGGGCGATAATATGAGCTAAGGGGTCAAGATCATGATGGGGAAACCCACAGAGACAGTGGGCACTCACTGACTCTAGCTGGGGAGCCTGCATAGGACTGAACTAGGCCCTCTGAATGTGCATGACAGTTGTGTGACTTGGGCAATCTGTGGGGACACTGGCAGCGGGACCAGGGTTTATCCCTAGTGCAACAACTGGCTTTTTGGAGCCCATTCTCTGTGGAGGGATACCTTGCTCAGCCTAGATACAGGGAGGAGGGCCTTGGTCCTGCCTCAGGTGACAGACTTTGTTGGGAGGCCTCACCCTCTCTGAGGATTGGCTGGGGTGGGGGTGAGAAGAGGGTGAGGGGAGGGGGGGAGAGGAGTGGAGCGGGAGGAAGGGAAGGAGGGGTACTGGGCTTGGTATGTAAAACAAAAAGATTATTTTTAAATAAAAGTAAATTTAAAAAGATGGGATACAGTTCCATTAAAAATGAAACCTCTTTTTGTTACAAAATATGTTTTTTATTTTGTTAGGATAGAGCTAAAATAATTCAGAAGGCTTTTAAGATTTTTTTCTTGTCAATGCCTGGGAGCGCAGCAGGGCGCCTATCCTTTATTGGACCTACAGGCACACTGTTGCCTGATGCTCAAATGTGACCTAAGAGGGAAAGAAGGCCCCAAAGGATGAGAGGCCCCTCTTAAAGAGACAGATCATGCAGCCCCAGTGGTGGATTGTTTGGAGGATCGCTTAGGCGCTGCGGTGGGCAGTTAGATTCAGATAGGTGAGGGCCTAGAGGACAGTGAGTGCGTCAGAAATGGGTTCGAGGCTGGGGTGAGTGGGAGGAGCATGCTCTTGTGTACGTCCTGAGCGTGAGGCGCAGGGGGCTGTCGGGAACAGGTTCTGGACATCACCAACCACGTCTCTTAGGCAACAGGCAACTACAGCGTTGGAAGGAAAGTGCAGGAGACTCGGAGCCAGACTGGCAGCAACCTCCCCAGCATATGCTTGCAGCCTCTGAACCAGCCAATCCTACCCTAAGAAGAGCTCATCTTTCCAATGTGGTAGGGACTTCCTGTTGCTGTTGCCATGGTTTCGCGGGCGGGACTTAAGAGAGGCTTCCTTTGTTTGAATGGTTCTCCAGTCCCCTTGCTCAGGTTTGAGTTCCTTGTGTGTTGTTCATCCCACCTGTCTTTCCCAGCCTTCATCATATGGGCTGTGGGCAGAAAAGCAGCGGAAAAGATGGATGATCCTCCGAAGATGGACGATCCTCCGATGTGGGTGCCTGTCTGTTTCTTTAAAGTCTTAGATGGCAGTGTTGCGCCATACAGCCCTTTCTCCTCTGCCCTGTGTGTTTGAAAAAATACTGTGAGTCTTTTTAAACTAAGAAGGCTTTTTCCCCCTTCCCTTCTTCCCTTCTCGTCTTCCCTTTCTCCTCCCCTCCCCTTCCTTTCCCCGTAGTAGGATTTGTGCCTGCCTGGAACTGGCAATTGAGTTAATAAATTCTAGACTTTACCTTGTTGATATTCACAGCCTTAGAACAAATCCCTTTATTTTTCAAGTTGGCTTTACTGTTGTGGGGCAGCCTAGACACTACAGCGGCTTGTGTTTTGGCTTCTTTGAAAGGCCTTATTCTGTCCCCAGCTTGTCCTGGGTTTGTGGACCTTTATCCGTGTGTTCTTTCAGTGGAGACTTGGTTTCACTTCCATCTGGAAAATTTCTGTAAAGTGTTAATGAAAACAAGTTTTTTTCTTACAGTCCTATCACCTAGTGATCACCATTAATTGTATTTCATGGAGATTGCCTTAGAGCTTTCTAATGCGTACGGCTCTTTTAAAGATACTAGGCTGCATATTTGTGCCTTTGCTTTAGTGTCTTAAAAACTTAGAAAATCAGACCAAATTCCATTGATATGTAATTATTGTATCTCACATTAAAATCTCATATTTAGCATAAGCCATTTGTCACGTGAACATTTTCCTCAGTGTGATGAAATTATTTAATAACTGATATGAATTATACAAACAACCCATAGCCCCATCTCATTACCAAATATTTTGAAAGTATATTGTTGCTAAGTACAAGATCTGTACTAGTTGGTTTCTTTTTTGCTCACCATCAGTTTTTAAGTGCACAAAAAAGTGGCTAGCAGTGTGTTCTGAATAGATAGGTTGTGTGTTTGAATTAGTGTTTGATTTCTGCAGGGTAATTTTGTTACAAATACAGTGTGACATTTCATAATATACTGTGGTGTTTAAATAAGTTTTTTACATGCTTTTTCTTTCTATTTAAACTCTGTGAGTAATAAGTATAATATTAGAATTTAAAACTACGTTTGTTTCCAGGTTTACATTCCTTCCCAGAGTGTCTTGTCTTTTCTTTTATTTAGCACAAAAAGGTGTTCTACAAGAGTGTATAATATAGAATGTGATTCCAGATCTGTGTGCCACAGTCACCATAAATATAAAGGGTAGTGACTGCAGTGTCTGCTTCAGTGTTGATAACCGGCATAAATAGCTCAACAGGTTCTTAACTTGGGTCCTCACTACTAGATGTCACATTATTATTGTCTCTGCTGTTTGCCATGACATATGTAGTAGGGAATTTTAAACCAGGTCTTTATTTATTTATTTTTGTCTGGGTGTGATAAAATCTCCTTAAATGTATAATCTCTTGAGATTCCCATTTCTACCTTCTAGTAGGAAATCATTGTGTAATTTTGAGTGAACCGAATTAAGAAGGACGTATTAATACATTACTCAAAGATATTGCTTCTTTAACTTACAAAGAATATTTTCATACATTCTTATATTTCTAGAAGTATATTCATTGACTTTACAAGTTCAAACTTTTTATATTAATTAAATTTGTTTTTGACAATATTTTTTTTCTATGGGCACCTGCTGCATGAAAGTTAATTCCCATTCTCTGTGAACTTTGGCTTTTGTGTACTCATCATCATTTATAAATTTTGAAAAATAATATTGACTTTGGTGCAAATGTAAAAATTAGTCCCACTGTAACAATATATATATTTATATATATATGTTTTCCTTTTAAATTATATTTTTGGTCTTTAGATATATAATTATTAGTACTAACCCCACCCCCACCTCTCTGCTGGGGATGGAACTTAGAGCTTGGAGCTCTGAATGAACATACTACCACTGAACTACTGCTCTGCCTTCCTCAGAGTACTGAATCTATTTTTCACTGCTTTATTCTTTGGTATAGCGCTGAAAGTCCCATCTGCTCTTACCTCCCCTGCCTCTTATTTTTAGCCTAATCCATTAATTTTTCCACTGTCTGATGAAGTCCCCATTAGAATGCTTTAAAAACTCCAAATAAATAAAAATTCTAAGTGACTGCACATTTAAGATTTTCCATAACTACTTGCTACAATCACTACTCTCCAGGACTCCAACATATGTCTATTTCTCATAGTCCCTGAACTTGTAATTTAGCACAATTACATGCTTTTTATACTCTGTCTAGATCCTCCAGATTTTGAGTCATTAAAACTACCCATGCATGCACATAAATTTAACTTTTACCTATCAGGGCAGAGCTGGTAGTTGTGCAAATGGTTGTCTCTTTCAGTGTAGCTGAAGGGGCAAAGAATTCCTGGCAGTTTACATAAGCAGTGATGATTTTTTTCAAAGGAAGAGATGAGTATAAGATGTGGCGTGGAGTGGTAGATTCACTAACCATGACTCTTCTACCATTTCAATCTCAAAAGGAATGCCAGTGTTGAGAGAGGATCTACATGAACTCCACTGACTTTCTCTGTCCTGTGGCAGTCTTACTTGTTTCCATGGAGAAGGGTGACTGCTCCTCTGATCCTGTCCAGTGGGTGTGGGAGTTTACAAAAGTGATGAAGAAATTGTTTTGCATATTCACTGTTAATTTATCACGGCAATCTCTTTTGTTTTCTTGTTTTGTTGGTTATTTCTTAGATAGGGTATGTCTGTGGAGCTCAATCTGTTTTTATTCTTTTGCCTCAGCCTTCTGTGTTCTGGGATAACAGAAGTATATTGCAAGCGGGCTTTCTGATTCATTTCTATTATAGTCACCTTGGAATATATGGAAGAAAATAAATGAAAAAGTGTAATCCTTTTTTAATGTGTTTTGCATATTGCATTCATTTTTCCATATTGTGGTAATATATCGTTCACTATTAGATTATGAAGTTGTTTTTTTCCTACTAGGTAATAAGTATATTTTCTTAAAAGTCAGTTTCCAGTAGTCTGCCATATATATCATCTACAACATGATTCACAGTTCCTTAATTGTTTCTGAAAAAGAAAAAAATAATGCTACAATAAACACTTCTAGTACGTCATTGCCCTTGTTTAAACAATGTTCCTACTGTGGTTTCTGCCAAGTGGACACATACTGCAAGACTCCTCTGATCAAGAAAACTTGCCAGTATCTGCAACATTGTGTTTTGAGATTACTGCTAACCTTCAAAATTTTACTGTGCTGAGATTTGAATTTATCGTCTTAGTTTTTAAAAATGTCTTTCACATTATTTGTGATTCAGTGTTGTTTCATACATTTTAGTCATATGCATTTTTATATACTCTGAAAATGAATTTTTAAAATTTCATATGTGCTATTGGTTTTAAAGGGAATGCATCGTGACTTGGGAGTACGTCTCCGTGGCAGTGCACTTGCATAGCAAGTGGACAAGTAAATCCGTGGGATGAGTATCCAATTACACCAGAAAACCCCAAACAACAAACAATAAATAAATGAACATTAAAATAAAAATATTAAAATAATTCTCAAGGAACACCCCAAAAATTTCCATATGCAGATTTATAATCTGAGAAAGATCATAGTCACAGACTGCCTGCCCTACATAAACTGCCATCAAGGTTCATCTTTAGAGTTGGCCCATTTTTGGTTTCTCCTTGATGTCTATGGTTAAAGAGACAGGGTAACATGTTTGGGACACTAGGAGGAAAGCTTAGAGATCTTGAAACCAGTAGATTTCCAAATGTTTAAGTGCAAGAAACTTTCTTGGGGGAGGGGTGCAGGTGGAAGGGGTTCTTCTCTTACACTCTCTTGCCTAGTTGCTGCTACTCTCAGCTTCTGGTTCTCAGAGTTGAAGAAACAACCTGCCCAGAGAACAGCAAGTTTTGCTTGTTAGGGTTATTTGTTTTTTCAGGAAAGCAGGAGAGGATCATGGAGCCTGGACTGGAAGGGGTGATCTCTTGAGCCCTGGTCAAGGCCTACCTGTTTGCTCACAGGACTGTTTAGTCCCTCTCCCTTTTAAGTAAATATGCGCCCCCCCTCCCACACCGTTGACTTCTGTGAGGATTGAGTTAAAATAAGACAGGAGCAGAGAGATGCAAGCAGGGTGCCTGTCTTGTACTGAAGGGCACAGTCTTCTGTGTTGCCCAGGGCATGTCCCTGAGGAGACTTTAGAGGGGAAGAGAAGGATCCCCAGCAGGCAAGGCTGCATTGCTTGCCTGAGCGGTGTCATGGGGCCATGTGGTGGGCAGTTAGGATTAACGGGATGAGCGGGATGAGCGCTGCAAGGAAGACAGTGAGTACAGCCACGTGAAAAGCAGGATCAAAGGCTGGGCGGAATGGGAGGAGTGTGTCCAGGGACTGGCATGCATCTCACGTGGTGCGCAGGGCAATAGGTCCTACTTATCAGCAGTCCCATTCTACAGCAGCGGTTGCATCCCTTGGTCAGCAGAGAACTACAGCACTGGAAGGAAGCCGCAGTCCTGCTTCTGGAGGGAGACTAACAAGTCCTTTCAGGACACTTGTGCTCAGGCTTCCGATTCAGCAGTCCTACTACAAAGAACAGCATCTTCCGATGTGGTAGGGATTTCCTCTTGCTGTTGCTATGGTTTCACGAGCAGAACTAAGGGAGGTTTCCTTTGTTGGCATAGACTGTTTAGCTACTTGGGCAGGTGTGAGTTGTGAGTTCGCTGTGTGGTCTGTCTGGTTAGTCGCCTCAGTAGGTTGGCTTTTCTCATCTTTATTTAATAGGTTGGGGGCAGACAATTCCCCAGAAAAGATGGACTCTTTCTGATGTTGGTGTCTT